ATTAATCATATGATTATTTTCTTAGCATACATACTATTTTTTATAAGGAATTCTAGTAGGAGATTAAAAAGTTATTCTATTGCATAATGAGTTCACATATTTAGCCTTTACTTTGAAGTAATGTGGTATAAATTTTGGTGACTACCCTATACTTTAGGGTTGTTGGCATTGCTTTTGTTGCTGAAAATTTCACAAAATATTTAAAATGTATAGTAATATAAACTTAAATAATATTTCTGGCAAGTAAATGAAAAGTAACCAAATAATTTGCTTTCACTTTTCGTACTAACCTAGTTTGGTGACAAACGGATATTCCTGTTATGTTTAATGTACTTCCACTTTTTTCTGGGTTCACTAATAAATACAGGTATTGACAATATGCAAAATATTATTGACTAACATTTTAATTGTTTTTAACAACTCTTTTGTTATGTGTAAAGAATATATTTTTCTAGTCATTTTATCTTTTGTATTTTATGGCACTTTTGCAATATGTAACTTAAAAATTTACATAGTAAATTATACTGATGTTTATTTTCACAAAATCTAATTTTATATTATATATCTTTATATCGCTAATGTCCAGAGGATCATCCCACTGGCTGCAGTGTCAAAGATGATGTCTAATTTCTAAAACACTGTTTTATAGCTTCCTATTACTGGTCCTGGGGTGTAAGATGAACTCGATAGACATTGTATGACTGACTATACTTGAAATACAACTAAAATGAATTTAATTAATTGAATACATTTTAAATTCTACACCAAATATCATTCTTTAAAATTCTGTGGGATTTTGTAATCTTAATAAACACTTGAAATAATTAAATACAACCTCTATAATTAACTTAAGTTTTAATATTCATCATTTTGAAAATTATATCTTAATCTATCAGAAAAAAAATAATCTTCAGGCTTTGAGGTCTTGATTCTATTTAGATGAACTTATTAGCAGAGTTCTTAAACTAGAGTGTTCATGATGGAGTAAGAATATTTGTAACATAACTGCATGCTGTGAAATAAAATTACAGTGTAGAACTGATTTTATTTTCCTTCATTTGCTAATTTGCTAAAGAAACTCATAATTTTTTAAAAATAAGATGATTAATAGCTAATGCTATTATTAAATCATAACACAGACCTAATAGTTATTATTTGAACATAATAACTAAGACTTACAGCATTAATTCTAAACTTTTATGCTTGAACCCTGGTTGTATATTTTGATCCATTTCTATAATTATCCACAACTCTGCAAGGTAAGCACAACTCTTCAAAGACAAATGGAATGGGGTTTGGGTCAGAGTTGAGATGTGTGTGCATATGGGAAAGCTCTGTCAACTGAACAAAAATTTACCCAAATCATATTTACAATCCTAAACATTCTTTTTCATTTTACACAGATCAATGGCCATTTCCACTGATGTACACTAACCAGGATAACTTAACTGAATGGTAACCACGTGGCTGCCACCACATTTGGCAGGTTCCATATGACATCTCATTAATCTTTACAACAAACCTAAGTGACAAGTGTTTCCATATCATTTGACATTTGAAGAGACTAATGTTTGAATTGGGCAGGTTGCCCAAGGTTACACAGTGAGTAAAAGCTAAATCTAGAAGCAGAACTCAGTGACATATCATAAAAAACTCATATTCTGCTCTTGTTCTATATTCCTGTGTGTTTCTTGTTTCCCCAACGAGGTTGATTTTATCCATGCTTAAAGTATCTAAAAGCCTGGCAATTTCAAAAGCGCTTATTTTCATCTTTTATACTGAAACAGTCAAGAACCAGAATAAAATTCAAGTAAAGAGGTAGAGAATTTCATTCAATAATAGCCAGAGTCAAGACAGATCCAGTGACTGTGGCTTGGCTACTTGCATTGTAGTTTTTATAAAGCAGAAGAAGGTTAATGGTAGAGAAACCCCATAATGGTAGTGAAATTGGATGTGGTGAAAATTATGAACTTCCTCAATCAGGATGCCACAAACCTGAAATCAAACAAAGAAAAAAATATCATGACATTTTTGGTGAGAATTACTTTGTACTGGAAGTATTTGACAGTTTGAACTGGATAGCAAGTTGCAGGCAGACCTTGACAGGACTACAATAAGTTAAACACACAAGGCAAAATGGAAAAGCAGAAATGGTCACTGAAGGTATAGATTTTTCCAAGTTTTGAATTTGTGATTTGAAACAAACTGAACTAAAACCTCAAAGTTCTGGAACCATCAGCATGTTTTTTTACAGCCTTCAATACCATATACTTATCTCTAGAGAATTACATGAAATGAGGTTACTTTAAAAATAGTGACTATTACTGGTTAGATTCTAGCATTGTACTAAATGGTGCAGGTCAAGTGGTGGCTGAGCAGCCACTGGCAAGCCTTCATGGTATGTTTCAGGTGATAGGAATAAAAGACCATGGCTTTAACTAGAGTAAGAGAACACTGTCCTGCTGTTTCAGAACACACCATATTATGTCAGTTTTTAGATGCTGAATATTTTCATATATAGTATTGAGTTAATCACATTTTTAAAAATTTTAAAAATAAAAAAATACTGTACTACATTGAATGTGCATACCAACTGGAAGGTGAGTGTAAATTTTGCAAATGTGTGAATGTATTTCAAAACTGAAGATATCAGAGGTTTTACTAAATTAATGTTTGATTGGGAGATATAAGTATGATATAGGTAGGAGAAGTAAAATCATTGAAGAAGGCATGTACCTGGTGGAGATGATTCAGTTAATAACTGAGATAACAACAACAAAAACAGTAAGCTAATTCCCACTGGAAGACAGAAAACTGGTCCCGGTCATCCATAATAATAATAAGGAAAGCAAGGTAAGGCTAAAGAATTTGCAAGGGTTTGTGCATGCGTGTTATAAATCATGACTCAGATTTCAGATTGAGTTCATTAATGAATTTTAAGCAAAATAACAACATAATCGAACATCTATTAAAATAGCATGAATTGAAGATTAAATTGGATTGGGACAAAATCATTGTGAAGAAGCATTATGATGGCATTATACCTTCTCTAGAGATAAAGTCTAGAATGCCTACTTCTTTGTATAAATACACAGAATCAGATATATTTAAAATATATGAAAGATTTTGAACTGATTAAAGAAGAATTTTATGAGTGAAAACTTTGCAAGACATTTATCTGCAGGAATGTTTGAGAATCCCTCAGTGTGGAAAGCTACAAAATTACTAAAATCAAGTGTGTGGATAGCCGCTGGCTATGCACAGAGCTACACAAATCTGTGCACCTATCAATGATATACTATCCATACTTATGCAATCAACAGTATTCTGCTTGATCGGAGGATAACAAAATTCATAAAATGGAATCAATTACTATGTTTTGTTGATTTCTATAGCAAAGGAGCTGAAAAAAACAAACAAAATCTAATCAATTTGTACAAGAAAATCTGTCTAGAGATGTTGATTGAAGTGGGCACTGGAAAAGATGTACAATTTAAAGAAGTTTCTGTAGGTAGCTAAAGTATTCTTGCAAAGGGTAAATAACCTGAGCAAATGACAAGAAAACAGTTTGTGTGTGAAAGGTTAAGTTGGTGCAAGTGAAGGAAAGTTACATAACTGAACATTGATCTTGATGCCTTTTTTGTCCTTAGTTGCCTCATAAAATCTTTCACAAAATCACAGACACCCATCAATTTTACGTTCTAGTAGCTCTCAAATCCCCACTCTCTTCTGAATTTTTTTTCTAAAGTGCATATCTGATTGTAACTTTCATGTGCTTAACATCCTTCAGTGTTTTCCCCTGCTCTCTGTTAGACAAGGTCAATATTCTGTTACAACTTTTGAGACTTTTATGATTCACCTCCTGCTTATCTCTCTGGCTTCTTCTATTACTCAGTCCTGACTTTCTCACTTTTCAACTGTAAATGTTTTAGCCATAAAGAATTTCTTTTCTTTTCACAAACATAGGATGATCTCTCTCACCATTAAATATTGCACATGATTTTTCTTTCTTTTTTACTGATCTATTTTCATTTCACATCACTTCCTCTGGAAACAATCGTCCTTCATCCTCCAGCACTGAGACCAAGAAAATACCTTCTCCTTTTGTGTCTTTTTAACTCTTTGTTTTTATCCATATCTGGTCACACTCACTCTCAATTCGCTTGCTTTTATCCGTATTTGCTGAAGCGCATCAACAGCAGAAGCCTGGTATGGAAACTTCTCAGGCCACACCTTCCCTTGCATTGCCTGAGTCTGCAGTGGCACCTGGCATCAGGTGGTGCTAAATTTGCAGGCATTGAAAGAATGACTGACTGCGTGGCATCATTTTCAAAGATGAAGAGCTATTTAGAAGAGGCTTTATCTGCAAACCAAACAGGTTTCCGATATTTTGCTAGTGCTCTGGGATAAGAAATATAAGCCTAACCTGACACATGGTTTTTATATGGCCTTGAATGAATTTAATCTTTAAAAAAGTTAAAGATGAAGATTAAGTGACTGAAGCATTAAATAGTTCATAAATACTAAAAATATTTACCCCATGGCCGTAAAAATAGTTTGCTGACATCTGTTCCAACAGACAGGTGATATATTGTATTTGCAAATTTTCTTTACAATCGCAATGACCCTAATGTGCTTCCAGAAAACATGTGACTACTTATATATAAGTGTTCTGATTTAGCTTCTACACTTAAAAATCCTGTTATGTAAATTATTTCTCATTTGTCTTTTGAAAATTAAAGGAAGGAATTTGTTACTTATTTTATACCTTTTCTGCTGATATGGTTTTATTATTCTATGACAAGGCTTTTTATTGAAGTTTGTAATTCAAATTTATGTATTTATGTATTTATGTATTTATTTATTTATTTATTTATTTATTTATTTTGATACCAGAGATTGAACTCACCTCACACCTGCACAAGCCTGGCAGGTGCTTGTGCAGCTGAGCTAAACCCTAAACTCCTGTAGATCAAGTCTGAAGTCTTAAGTTGACTAGACATTGTTTCCTGCATGGTTTATCTCCTCAGTCAGTGCCCAAAGAACTCTGAGAAGTTGTAGGCATATGCAGGTGCAGACACAAGGGCCAGCTTCTTCTCCAGTGCTGTGGAAAGAGACTGTACATCATAGGGAAGAACACTATGCTCCCCTATGCCACCTGGACAGAGTCCTGGGAGAGTGATCTCCCGGGGTATCCATGTTGATATGACAAGGTTTAAACTATAATTCTATGATGTTAATGTAATCAAAATGAAAAAAAGGAATGGAAAAAAAGGCTTCTTAGATTTATGTTTTTATAAATTAAAAACTTAAATCTCAGAGCCTTACATAGCCAATTAATATACTATTTGCCATTAGTTTTGTAATTTATTCCTTGCACACCATGGTTATCATATAAATGATTGGTGAAAGAAAGAATGAGTGAGTCTGGTTTATTTTTTACTTATGATGTTGGTTTCAAGTTGCATTCATTTACTTGTGAAAGTTTCAGGTTTATCTTTTTATGACTAAGTAGTAGTCTAGTATATTAAAAACCACATTTTTTTAATCAGTATCACATTTGATGTGCATCTGGGTTCTTTTTGAGATTTCACTGCTACAAATTGCGCTACTAGGAAAAACTCTTCAAAAGAAAGAAAAACTGAGATGGGAAAAGGAGAAAGGAAGGAAAGAAAAAGGAAAAAAAAATATATGTATACAAACACAAGATAGTAACAAAGTTATACATCTGGTTTCTCTTAGTTCACTGAGGGGAAAGATTTTTGCTAGTAATTTTCTGGACAATGTTTCATGCCTGTATCTTGCACTCTGAACAACAGCTGTGCAATTACAGTATGCAATGTGTGGATTATTGCTAATCTCCTATTAGCATGTTTTATTGCTGTTTCTTATTTTTTTTCTGTTTAGCATTAAAAAAAGAATATATGAATAAATTGGGCCAATAAGTTATTTTTGTCAGAGACTTTTGGTAATATCCTTGTAGTTATACAGCTAGTAAGTTATGTAGGACCCTTTAACCCAGGTCTTCCAATTGAGAAAACCCTTTTTATGTTGCCTAATATGAAAGTGTTTTATGCTAAACCTTCCCTAATGAACATGACCATTATGTTTGAGTTTTCATAATATTGATATGCAATATTTACTTAGCTGAGCATTGTTATAAGAACTTTGCATGAATACATTTAAACCTTTACAAAATATTACAGAGTGAGTAATGTGAACACCTCCAATTTATAAACCAGGAATAGATGGACAGACAAAAAGACATTGCCAAAAATCACCCATGTTTCAAACTCGGTATGAAAGATATTCATTTACAGTTTTAGTCCCATTGTAAACAACTGAAGGCTATCTTGAGTTTATTTATTTACCGTTATATGTCTTCTGTTAAACTAGATAATGTTTGTGTAATTATTAGTCTTCTTTCATGGAGTGCAGGTCAGTATACTTTTCCTTTTTTTGAAGCTGTGCAATAAGTTTATTTGTAAATCAATACAAATTCTATGGAGGATGAAATTGAAACTTAGAGGTTAAATCATGTATTTACAAAAGAATATTAGAATGAGAAAAGAGAATTTATATAGTTGGGATATTTAGATATTTTAAAGAAACATTATATATTTTGAAACACTGCATTTTATTCCATACATATGCACAATTATTAAAAGTCAAATAAAAATAAAAAATAGTAAATCTTTTCCTAATATATCCTCTGCGGTTAACTAAAAATTCTGAGAATTATGATTCTGCCATTCTTTGTTTTCAACATTTTGCCAAAATAGCCATTTGATAATGAAGACAGAACAATGTTTTGAAGAATGTACAGTTTCAAATCAAACTCTACAGTTACAGGAGGCCGTATACTTTTACTGTCATTTAAATATTTGTATAAATAAAAACACTAGTTAGGCACATAGAAAACTTATTTTAGTACTGATAAAACTAATGGGGTATATGAGAGAAATACAAGCAATAAGTGGTAGAGATATTTGAAGAATGTTTTATACTGTTTGTGAATATGTATACATACATATTTTTTACAGCAACTACCTCAACAGATAATTCTGAACAATTTTCAATAAATTATATACAATTTAGATTTTGAAGGAAGATCACCTATAGGATAAGGGGACTTTATTACTATTATTAACTCAATGTTAGAGTTCTTTTTCATACAAATCACATTGCATGTTTAAAATTTTACTTTATATTTTTATTAATACACTTTAAAAAGTAATGCGTTAACTTTCTGTTACTGTAATGAAATCCAAGAAACAGCTAACTTGTAGTCAAAAAGGGTTTATTTTAATTTGCAGTTTTAGGAGCTCTGTCCATGATCTAATGGTCCCACAGCGTTTGGGTCACAGTGAAGTAGCACGGTATGATGGAGAGCACTGGAGAGCAATGCTGTTGGCCAAATGTCCAGGAAGCAAGCAAGAGAACACGGAAGATCCATGTCTCACAGTCCACTTCCAGAGCACAACCTCAGTGACAAAAGCCTTTCTACAAGGTACTGCCTCCCTACACCACCATCCTGAGGTGAACATTTGCAACATATACATCTTCTGAAGTATAGCAAATGCACACTTGCGTGGGTTGGAGGTATAGCTCAGAGGCAAGGCATCTACCTGGCAAGCTCAAGGTCCTGAGTTTGATTCCCACTTCCAAAAACAAAACAAAACAAAACAAACACATTTGTGTATTCTTAAAAGTTAATACAAACCCTGACTAATATTGGAAAAGAAACCAAACTGAACATAACAAAGATCATGCATGTCAAAAATTCAAAACTGGAATTTTATCATTAAATATTTTAGAAAAATAAAAAAAGTTCTATCTATGAAATATAGAGATTCAGAGAAATACATTAGCTTTTGCAAATGAATATAGAAATGAAAAATTCATGAAGAGTGGTGAGCAAAAGTAGAATACATTTTCCAAAAATCTTCCAAGAAAAAAAAAAAAGAGAAATGCAAATAAAAAAAGATAGAAGCAAATTAAATCATTTGGAGACTATGTCAAGAAATTTGGCATCTGCATAGAAAAAGTAGGAAAAAAAAATCATCCCTAAAGAAATTCAAAAAAATATTCCTGAACACATAGACAAGAATTAATAATGGTGGACATGTTGCTACTCAAGTAAATGAGATCAAACCAAAGTGTAGTGGAAAAAACGGGGAAGGACTCTGGAGGCACCTTGAAAAGATTACATGGCGAAAAAGAGGTAGAGGAGAGAGATTAGGAGATTTCTCAAATACTACATAGAAGTATGTTAAAAAGGAGTGGAGAGTGGACAATACGGTGAGCTTGGGATGCTGAGCAGCAACTGTGGTGAAATAATCTAAAATCTTGACTTTTTTTTAGCAAATGATGAATGAAAAATTCCTATGGTGATGTGCAATGTTGTCTTTAATGATATCACAGAACGTTTTCATAATTCAGTGGCACTAATATGGAAGCTGTACTCCAGACATCATGTATAATTTTGATAGTATGTAAAGAATAATAAACTTGACAATTCTACCTTGTATCACTTTATTAGAACAACTTATTTTTCCTCTATGCTATGATAATGTTTGTACTGGATTTGTAATGTGTATTTTCAGCTGTGTATTTCTCTACTATACCTCAAAATTTTCAGTATAATTCTATGCCATTGGTAATGGTGTTCTTTGTAGAATATCATGCCGCCCTTAAATAATGATAATTTAACTTTTCCTTTCCTATCCTTATTCCTTTTATTTGTTCCTCTTGTATAATAGCTCTGGCTAATGTTTCCATAAATATATTGATTAATAGTAGTGATAATGGACATCCTCATCTTGTTCCTAATTTTAGAATAAAACTCTTGGTTTTTGTCCATTTAGTATGATGTTGATGGTTGGTTTGTTATGGTTTCTATAACATTGAGAAGACAATCTATTCCAATTTTCTGGAGGATTTTTGCTATGAATTGGTGTTGGACTTGGTCAAATGCTTTTTCTGCATCTATTGAGATAGTCATTTGGTTTTATCTTTGGATCCAATAACATGTTATATTACATTAATTCATTTGTATATTTTGAATCATCCTTGCATCCCTGGAATTAATTCTACTTGGTCATGATGCATAATCTTCTTAATTATTTGGTGCATTTGTTTGCCTGTACCTTTCTGAGGTTTTTTCATCTAGGTTCATTAAGGAGATTGGCCTGTACCTCTATTTTTGGTTGGATTCTTCTCTAGGTTTGGTATCATGTTAATGTTTGCTTTGAGGAATGAATTTTTTTTTTGTCTTTTTCTTTTTTATCAGTACCAGGGATCGAACTCACGACGGCCTGCTTGCAAGGCAGGTGCTTATGGCGCTGAGCTAAATCCCCAGCTCCTTGAGGAATGAATTTAGGAATATCATTTCCCTTTCAACTTCACTAAGGAGTATGAGAAGTAAAGGTATAATATCTTTTCTGAGTATCTTGTAGAACTCAGTAGTGAAACCATCAGGGTGCTGGCTTTGCTTTGTTAGTAGATGTTAAATTACTTCTTCAGTGTTATTCTAAGTGTTATTTAGAATTTTCATTCCTTCTTGATTCATCTTTGGTAATTCATATATATCTAAGAATCTATCCATTTCTTCTGTATTTTCCATCTTATTAGAACACAGATTCTTAAATTAGGTATTGAGGATTTTCTGGATTTCTTCAGGATCTATTGTGATTGCACTTATTTGTTTCTAATGACATGAATCTGAGTCTTCCCTTTGTTTTCAGGGTTGGCTAAGGGTTTGCCAATTTTATTGAATATTTTAATGAATAAATATTTTGATTCATTGATCCTTTGTATTGTTTTATTAGTCTTAATTGTATTAATTTCTGTGCTGATCTTTATAATTTCCTCCTTTGTATGATCTTTTGGCTTGACTTGCCATTCTTTTTCTTGAAGTTTGAAGTTCAGTATTAGGTTGTTTATTGAAGCTTGTTCCATTTTTCTGGTATTGGAATTCAATGGTATAAATTTCCCTCATATATTAGAAAATGGGAGGATATTCCTTGCTGTTGGCTTAACATTGTAAAAATGGCCATACTCCCAAAACTCTTAACAATACCAAAATACCATTAACATACTTTATAGTTCTAGAGAAAACACTCCTAAAATTCATTTGGAAACAGAAGAAACCTAGAATAGCAAAGGCAGTTCTGGGCAAAAGAGGCAAGGCAAGAGGCTTCTC